AAACAATTAATAAACAAAATATAAAAAAATCATATAATATAAAAATGTATATAAATTGAATTTTCAGAATATTTTTAGAATATTTCTAGAATTGATCAAGAACTGATTTACCTTTTCTCATAAATTTAAAAAAAAAGAAGGATTAACTAATATCTTTTAAGATCTTTGGTTAAAGTATTTTATCCTAAAATCTATTAATATATTAGATCATATGTGTAGCTATTACCATATGAGTTGATTGCTAAGAAATCAGATTTTGGAAATTTTTAGTAAAATTGAGATTTTTATTGCATTTTAGTTTTTGATGTTATTAAAATGTATTAAGCTCTTAATTTTAGTCAAAAATTTCTCAGAATCTGATTTTCCTAGAAACACTCTCATATTTTCTATAATGATTGGGTAATTTTTAGCTATTATATTTAAAACTTTAAAATCAAAAACATTATTTTTTAATTTATATTATAATTATATTATTTTTATTATTTTAAAATAAAAATTTTATATTATTTTATTTATTTATTATATACTTTATTTTAAATAATTTTTAACTTTTTAATATTATAAAAATCAAAATTTTTTTTTTAATCTTTTAATATTTTATACAATTTTTTTTATTTATTTATTTATAAGCTTATATCAGAAAAATTATAAAGTTAAGTAAGATATATAGATTTACAAACCTATATATAAAATTACTCTTCATAAGATTGCAATTTTAAATTAGCATATAAGCTTGTATAATTTGCATAAAGAATATAGGTTTATATAAGGCCTATGCCTATAAAAATTCTTAAACGTAATAATAATAGAATTTTATAATTATCATTAAGTGTAGTGTAATAAGTAATTGACATCTTTAGAAGAATAATAAGAAGAACCTTTCTCTTTGTACAGTAATTTAATATGTTAGGGATGTTAATCGAGTTACCCAATCAATTATCTTATCAAATCTGTTGATCATGTAGTCGGAAGTAGTAAAAAAAAGGTCTGACTTCTTTTTACAAGGGTAACCTTTCTTTTGGTGTAGTCAAAGTTCAATCATTCACTTATGGTCCCTTTAAGCTTCTGAAGACTAAGTAAATCTGAGGTTTCAATAGTCATAAAAGAAATCAAGGGATCTATCGTTTCCAATGGTAGTTACTTCATGAATTTGGTCTTTGTCACTTGCCACAAAACCACTGCGGTAGAGTAAAGTAATGGATCAATTTTGTTACAAACATGACCCTTATATAAAAATCAGTTTATAACCCTTATTATTATTCTGTGGGAATTGATCAATCCTCAAAGGAGAAATAGACATAGTTAGCATTTAATCCCCTTTATTAAGAGTTTTACTTTAGTTTAATGGTTTTGAATTTCTTTGGTCGATACCTGTTACTAGAAGAGATCATGGGCAGAAAAATTGTCGATTATCACATTTTTTTGTGTGAAAGATTCATGAATGATGAAATGATGATGGTTATATGATTTGAACGTGAATTCTTAACTTATTTTAGTATGATTAACGTGAAGTTCCAACACCATATGTTAGAGACGCGCTTACTATAACTGTAGTAATGTAATATATAATTTTTTAATTTTATAAAAAAAACGCCTTTCTACTTGTTTTTGAAGTGTTCTTGTTCGAATTCCGCCCACATACATAATCATTCGTTATCCATTTAACTTATTTGGTATATTTTTTTAATTATATAAATAGGATACAATAAACTTTAAATATCATATCAACATAGATATTTGTGATTACTTTCCATAGTTCCTTTATTTTACCTTCACTTTGTATAATGTCCCCGGTAGAAACAAAAAACGACTCTTATGAAGAAATGGGTCTTAGTAAGATTGATCCCTATTTAAAACCCCATGTTCCAGTAATAAAACGCAGGTTTATATCAAACTTTTTTTTTTTTTAAACAAAAAAAAATAAAGTATGATAAAATAAATTTTTTAAATTAACTTTATAGATACGACAATTTTAAAAATTGGGTAAAAAAAATAAACCAAAATGAAGGCGGGTTCGATAAATTTACACGTGGATACGAACATTTCGGCCTCAATGTGCAGCCAAATGGTGACATTATATACCGGGAATGGGCACCTAATGCTGTGACCGCAAGTTTAATTGGCGAATTTAGTATGTACTTTATTCTTGTTATTTAAATATCATTAACAGATAATTGAGTTTTCTTTCCTTAGATAATTGGGACAGGTCTAAACACCAAATGAAAAAGAATTCTTTTGGTGTCTGGGAAATTTGTATCCCTGCCAAGAATGGTAGTGCTGCTATTCCTCATGGCTCTAAAATTAAAGTGAGAATTTTTTCTTTCTCTGTTTTCTTTCCGTCTCACTTTATTGACTAATTAAACGCGTTACAAAATAGATCGCCATGACTACACCTGAAGGTGAACATATCGATCGTATTCCAGCTTGGATAAAACGGGTCACTCAAGACTTGAATGTAAGTCCTGCATATGATGCCATCTTTTGGAATCCACCTCAAAAATATGTGTGGAAAAATGTTTCCCCCAAAAAACCAACTAGTTTGCGAATTTATGAAGCTCACGGTATGTTATATAATTACACGGATCACGGATCTAATTATGAAGTTTAATAATTTTTTTTTTTTTTTAGTGGGAATTTCTACATCTGAACCACGCGTTGGAACCTATGATGAGTTCACGGATAACGTCTTGAAACGTATCAAAGACTTGGGATATAATGCTATTCAATTGATGGCTGTAATGGAACACGCATATTATGCATCCTTCGGATATCAAGTGACAAGTTTCTTTGCTGCATCCAGTCGTTACGGTAAGCAACCGTGATAATAAAATTTAACCTTTCAATAAATGAATATTTGTTAATCTTGACGGGTCTCTTGATAGGCACACCTGAAGCATTGATGCGACTCATTGATACTGCCCATGGTATGGGTTTATATGTACTATTAGATATTGTTCATTCTCATGCATGTAAGAATGTGCTTGATGGATTGAATATGTTTGATGGGTCGGATCATTGCTATTTCCATGCAGGAGGAAAAGGACGACATGACCTCTGGGATAGGTGATTATTTCAAATGTTTCAAATGAACGACTTTTACACTTTAAAGAATTTAGATATATTTTTATTTTATTATTAGTCGTTTGTTCAATTATGGTCATTGGGAAGTGCTTCGATTTTTACTTTCAAACCTTCGCTTTTATATGGAAGAATATGGGTTTGACGGATTTCGATTTGATGGTGTTACCAGTATGATGTATGTTCATCACGGCATCGGAACAGGTTTTTCTGGTGATTACCACGAATATTTTGGTGATACTGTGGATGAGGAAGGAGTCGTTTATTTAATGTTGGTGAGTTAAAAATTTTTTGAATTCGTAACTTTTGATACTTTTTTCTTTAAATTTGATTAAATAACTTTAGGTTTATTGTATAGGCAAATGAGATGATTCATAAACTTTATCCTCGTATGATTACAGTTGCCGAAGGTAATTTTTTTTTTTTAGCGTTCATTCATCGATATAAATACGTTGTTAAATTTGACTTCAATTTCAGACGTGTCCGGAATGCCCGGTCTTTGTCGACCGGTGGAAGAGGGAGGGCTTGGTTTTGACTATCGATTAGCCATGGCGATTCCTGATATGTGGATTAAATTACTGAAAGAAAAACGTGATGATGATTGGGACCTTGGTAGTATTTGTTGGACATTGACTAACAGAAGGCATATGGTGCGTATTAAAACTAACCACAAATATTTTTGCTTGAACAGAAGACTTAAATTTCTTTTTTGGGTATCAGGAAAAAACTATAGCTTATGCCGAGTCACATGATCAGGCTCTTGTCGGTGACAAGACACTGGCTTTCTGGTTAATGGACAAGGAAATGTATACAAATATGTCGGACATGACTGAACTTACTCCAATCATTGATCGAGGATTGGCTTTACACAAATTGATTCGGTATATATTAATACATCAAATAAACAATTCTTCCTTGTCAAACTTTTAAACCATAATCTTCGATTATTTAGCTTGATTACCCATGGCCTTGGCGGTGAAGGTTATCTAAACTTTGAAGGGAATGAATTTGGACACCCAGAGTGGTTGGATTTCCCAAGAGCGGGGAATAATAATTCATTTCATTATGCTAGAAGACAGTGGAACGTAGTAGATGATAAATTATTAAGATATAAATATTTAAACGAGTTTGATAAAGCAATGCAACATTTAGAGGACAAATTTGGATGGTTAAATTCACCTCAGGTAAAGAACAACTTTCACGATATTGCGGTAACAATTTTTTTTTTTTGTTTACGGTAGTAGTTTTTTTTTTTTCCTTTACTTACCTCATGAATATTCATAAAGGCATATATTTCTCTAAAACATGAAGACGACAAATTGATATCATTTGAAAGAGGAAATTTACTTTGGATCTTGAATTTCCACCCAACTAAATCTTTTACTGATTATAAGATTGGAACTGAATGGGCTGGAAAATATTCAATTGTTCTTAATTCTGATAGTAAGAAATTTGGTGGACATGATAGAATTGATGAACGTCAATCATATTTTTCACAACCGCAGGAATGGAATGGAAGGAAAAATCATATTCAGGTAACAACTCAAATTATAATATATGCTTATTTAAGTTATCAATTTTTCAAGTGCTAAATTTTTTAAATTTTAGGTATATATTCCATGCAGAGTTGCTCTTGTTTTATCTCATTGTTAAGAAAAAAAAAATTATTTAAATTAACATATACAAGAAACGAAACTAGTATTGTATGATACAATGTAAAAAAAAGTGTAATTTTTTTTTTTTTAATAAAAACCTCAAATATTTGATTTAAAAATTATTTAGTATGTGAATATCGTGCATCCTTCTATTTTCATGATGTATATAAAATATCACAATTCCAACATTTAAAGAAATATCTCAAAATATCAATTTTATTTAAATCTTTAAAATTTAAATAATTAATGGAATTTTTAATAAATTAATTACAAGAAAAATCGTCGTCTGCTTGTTTCCAATTCCGGCTATTTTAAATAAAAATCGAAATAAAAAAAAAAAGAATTAATAATTTCATACAAATCCTTTAAAGGAATATTTATACATACCTTAAACATCCATTCATATTCTCCATTTTTATCAAAAGTATCTTTTTGTAACCATTTAAGCTTTAATGTAAATCTTGGTCCAAGTTCCTGTAATTCTGCTTTATCCTTACTCTTAAATACATATCTGAATATAAATAAAGAAAATTTAAATTAGAAAAAAAAATATATATAAATACTTTATTTGATAAAATGCCTACCTATGTCGCCTAAAAAATATAAAATCTCTTTGATTATGAAAGGTAGCAACTTGTCTTCCTTTAAATTCCGGTACATGAGGAAATAATGCTTGAAGCCATCTTCCAATTGTATGACCCAATCTTGTATTAAAATTGTTTAAAATAAGTTCAGGTTTATGACACGATGATCTTCCATGACCCTACAAAAAAAAAAAAGAAAAAGAAATTACATATTGTATCAATAATCATAAAAGCGTAAATTATTATTACGCGTTTCATACTTGAATATTGTGATTCAATTTGATACTGGTTAATTTGAAGTATGCAGTAGGTCCATTTGGTAAATGTATCAAAGTAATAGCGTCTAAAAAATTTTTTTTTTAAAAAAAAAAAAAATTTCAACTTAAATATCTATTGATGTTTAAAAAATATATATACATATTATTTAAACCAAATCTGCTTACTTGGAACTTTTTTATCTTCATTAACGACCATTAAATCTGTATAATCTCTATTCGTACAAAATTCAATAATTTGTTTAAATGAAAATTTACTTTCCCTTTTAACGAATTTACTATTTGGAAATACATCAATTAATTCAGAAGCAAATTCATATACAGATTTTGATGGCCTTTTACTAGTAGTAATAAGCATTTTTGGTGATACGCCCTCTTTAAAATATAGGGAAAATTCATCTGTTTTTTCATCTTCCAATATTTCTGTATCTTCGGGTTCTACTATTGTCTCATCGAATTCTCGTGTGTTTTCAAGTGTTTTAGGAACATTCTTTGCTAAACGTTCCTAAAATCAAATCAATTTTATATTAATACCATTTGGGTCAACTTTTTCTCAATTAATTTGCTTCAGAAATTTTTACCTCTTTTTTAGTTGGATCCTCGGCTTCCTCCTTCCGCCGTTGAAGCCTAAGCTCCATTTTTCGGCGAGATTTCTCCTGATTTTGTTTGGCATGGATTTCTTCTCTTTTAACTTTATTTTTAATTTGAGAAGGAAGTATAGATCGTGTTTTCATTTTCGACAATTGATTTGTGTGAGATGATAGATTCCAGAAATTTTTTTACTTCACGTGATGATTATTATACGAAGAGAAAACTTAACCTAAACCGGGGTTCAAGTTGCTTATCCTAGACCCCCGGGGTTAATCTAGACCTGTGACTTAATTTAGAATTCTATATTAATACATGATCTGCATATATTTATATTTATTTTTTTTACCTTTATTCGTGTCTTCGTGTTGCAATAAAAATTTCGGGTTAAAGTTTTTCCATACTGTTTATATAGTAAATTATTTTTGTATCACTAAAGCTGTCTGAAGTTTAGACTTCTATTCAAATTTGGGGGGTGGTCGGTAAAAAAGAAGGAAATTCACTTTTTAGTCAAAAATTTTTTTATTGGTTTACTTTGCTGATCATGATCATGTGAAAAAAAACTAGCTTAATAACTAAAATTACTTAAAATTTGTAGATTTCCCTCTTTTCTATTGACCACTTCCCATTTATGATGAGTTTGTTAATAAAATCAAAGATTATGCACATAAACTTGATTTTATTATTAGACTTGAAAAAGTTGAATATTTAAATACTACCAAAAATCAAAATTCTAAAAAAATTTTTAAAGAAAAAGAAAAAGAAGAAATTATTACAGAAAAAAAAATTCAAAAAAAATTATTTATGTTCTCGAGTTAGTTATTCTGAATTAAAAGAATATGACTCAAAAAATAAAAATTTAATTAACAAATGATGTGATTGTTCTTTTTATATTTGTATTTCTTTTAATAAATTTAATAGTTTATGATATATAATTAATAATGAATTTTATTTATAATCATCAAATGGTTAATAAAAATCATTAATTTTTTATGTCTAATGAACAGAATATTCCTGATAATGTTAAACAATAAATAGAATTATTATGTCATATTGATATAAATGTTACTACTATACATGCAATTTTAAAAAAAGAGTTTGGTGATTATGTTACATAGGTATATAATGATATTTATAATTTTATTTATCAATTAGAAGGTTTTAGTTCAGAAAAAAAATTTCAATACTGAAGAATTTATAAAATTATTAGAACAATTTAAATATGATAATGCAGAATTCTTTTATTATACTGATATTAATAATATAATAAAAAGATTGGAATAAGTAATATAGATATTTTTCTGAATAATGAATGAATTATAGTAGATTTAATGATATTGTAGTATTTGATAATATTTATAAAACCAATTGTTTTCAAATGCCATTTAGAATTTTACTGGAATAAATAATTATAGATATAATATGTGTTTTGCTAATGCATTAATGATTGATGAAACAGAAGATAATTTTATATGAGTATTTAGTAAATTTCTTGAAATAGTTAATCAACATGTACTATTGGTTATTCTTACTGATGATAATCATATAATGGCAAATGCTTATATAAAAATTTTACAACTATTTAGTACAAAACATTATTTATATCAATAGTATTTAATGAAAAATGTAATGAAAAATTTATGTGTAAAGCTAAGTATAAATTAGTTAACATTTATTAAAATACTTTATAAATGTTTTAAAGAAATGGATATGTTAAGTTTTTTCTCAATAGGGTTCACTTAAACATATTATCCAACTGCATCAACTTATTTATCATGAATAAAAAAAACAAAAGAAAAATGGGTTGCATGTTATAATCATAATGTATTTATGGCAATATAACTATAATTCAATATAGAGAATCTATGAATAATATGATAAAAGACTATTTAGATTCAAGTACATCACTTGTAATATTTATTACAATATTTCAATCAGTTTTAGATACACAAAATAAAAAAACTGAATTTCATATATACTAATAAAATAATTATAATATTATATACAAAACTACAAGTACATTTTGAACATTAAATAACATCTATTTTAACTACCTTTTCTTTAAAAAAAAACTTAAAAACAATTGATATAATCATTTATATATAAATGTAAAGAAATTTTAAGATAAAAATATTTTATAGAATTTTATAATTTTATTGTATATTTTATTAAAGTTTTTTTTTTAAATATATATAGCCAAATAAATAATTTTTTAAGTTCAAAGATATTATTATACGAAGAAGATATAGATGATGATAATCAAAGAATGACATTGATCTCTAGGAAATCATATATATCTTATATGTCTTCTATATCATCTATGATGTATATTTCTTTTATACAATATATCTTATTTATTTATTTTATGTTATATATTTATTTTATTATATTTATTTTATATATTATATTTATTTTTTCTATATTTTCAATAACTTTATATATTTTATTTTATATAAATAGAGAATATTTTCTTTTAGCTTAGCAGAGTATCAGAAAAGTAGTTTTATAAAATAGTTTAGTTTAATTCTCTTAATATATTTATATAGTACAAAGTGTTGACTTAGGTAGTATTTCATTATTATCATTATTAAATAAATTGTTAATTAATTAATACTTTTCTAAAACTAATTATAAAATAAACCTTCTGCTTATCACCTAAAATATTGCTTTGCTTATTACTAATAAGCATCTTAAAGAACTGATTGTAATATTTGGTATCTTCTGCCAGAAAAATTTTTAAAATTTGTTTAAAACGTTCATATTTGATAAATATTATTTGTTAAATTAAAGGCATAATAGATTACCTCCTGAACCTATCACTTTCTGACTGAGTATTTTCAACATTTTTAAAATTAGTATATACTTGAATATCTTACAACAATATTTACTAGATATACTCAACAATATATTGAAGAATTAAATTATATATATTTTTATATTAGATCACCAAACACAGTAAATCAAACTATATTTAATCTTATTTTTAATATTTGATATAATGTTGGATTTGGAGAATCACCTATTATAATTAAATAAAATATCTATAACACATTTATATTAATCTGTAGATTTGCATTAGATCTATTATATTAATTATATCAAATTTCTGAAATAACTTCTATACTATCTTCTGAAACAACTAAACCAATAAAGAAATCTGATTTAACAGTTTTAAGTGATAATATTGATAATAACCTATATACAAATAGTCTATTATATACAAATGAAGAATTGAATTTAGAAAATGTATTTGAAGAAATAGCTGTAAATCAAGTTAATATTCAAGCATTAACTGTCACTTTACAAAATATCGCTGAAATTCTTAATCTAAATATTCTATCTAATACTAATGCTAATAATGGAATTTATAATTTGATTAATCAGCTGTAAGCTAATATCTAAATCATGAATACTAATTCACTACGAAGAGAATTTTGTATTGCTAACCTTTCTTATTTTATGATAAAAACTAAGATCTAATTAACTGAATAGAAGATTTTACACACGCTTGTAATGTAAATAGAATTAATAATAATAGGAAGTTCAAAGTTGTACCTGCATATTTGAAAAATTTAGCTTCAATATAATAAATCACAAATTAAGCACTAGTAAATAACCATGTTAATTATATTACTGCATAGACTAGTAATAATAATGGTACAGATTTTATTATAACATTTTTAGCCACTTTCAGATTTCAAATATTGGTAGAAATTTGGATAATTGAACTAGAGAGGAGAAAATAGTAATCTGGTAAAACAGTGATGACTATGCCAATGCTTTATTCAAATTATATCACAAAGTTAAAACACCAGCCTTTTAGTATTCTGATGCTTACAAAGCTAGATGACTTGTTTCTAAACTTTTGCCTAAACTCTATATTTTGGTTAAACTATTCAATAATATAGGCAAATGCTTTTGATTGAGCTAAATAATATAAACTTACATACAAAGATACTGCTACTGTTGAAGTTTATATAAATAAGTTTACTTCTTTAAAGGTTTTTTTAACTCAAATGAGTGATTTGAATAATGTCATTGCTATTATAACATAATAAATACAACAGTTAAATATAAAAATAATAATAAAAGAAACAACTAAGGCTATCAAGGCAATTAATAAAATATACTATAGTAATTTCAGTTTTATCAATAAAATAATCAGCAAGCATTCATTCAAAATAACTAACTAAATTATAATGTTCAAAATAATAACTAGCAACAAAGGAAATATCACTTGCTTTAATTGTGAACAATCAAAACACATAAAGAAAAACATATACTTATCACCTTTGCAAATAATCAACAAAATAATAATTTACTATCTATTATCAACCTGATATTAGTAAATAATACTTTAAATAATTCTTTACTACTACCTGTTAATATGAATAATAATAATATCACATAAAGTAATAACACTGCAAACTTACAGTATTAACTGTTGATACAGATATTACAATAATAAGAGGCTAATAATAACAATCAGTCTTTAAACTAGAAGGAGTATCTCAAAAGGATAATAGTAAAGAGCCTTCTACAATTCTCTTAAATTTATCTATATAGGAAGCATTTATAAATAGAAAAGAGAATTATTGATGAAGAAGATGTAATTAAAGAAAAAGAAAATTAACAAAGAAATATTGTAATAAAAAAAACAACTAAACTAAAAGGGAGATAAAAGTCCCCTGCAGTACTTCTAGTAATTAACATAGTTGACTCATATATAATCTAACAATTTTTTGATATACTAGCAAATATAATAAATGGTCAACTATTATCTCTAAATCCAAAATTTGTCATGAATATAGTTAAACAATTAAAAAAGCCTATTGCAAGGAAACTAAATAAAGAAAAAGATCCTGTAATAATAGAGAAAATAGCTCATTTAGAAGATGATGAATCAAATAGAAATTCTCTAGATCAAAAGTAATAGATATTATAGAAGTCAATGAAAATAATGATTATCTTGCATCATAAGAAATATATAACTCATTCAAAAAAGATGAACAAAAGTCAACTGTCTTGTATTATCAAGTATATATCAAAAATAAAAAAACATCTTTAATCATTGACTTAGAATCTTCAGGATGCATTATATTTTTTGCTTTGCTTAAAGAGCTTGGCATGCAGATATAGAAGAGAT